TGCCAGATTATTTAATAAAATTTGGCTTAAACTTTTACATCCTCGTCTTTGTTGTCCTTGCTTCGATCGTATTACCCTATATTATTTTTCTGCTTGCGAGGTTAACAGTCAACCTGCTTAGCGCCGCAACACTATCATCTTACTCTGCCTCCACGTACCAATTTCCCTTTAAGAATGTAATTGTTTGCCTGCAGAACAAATCATTAAGATTATAAACTAATTCTACTTCTAATTACCCTCAGCTACATCAGAAATCAAATTTTGCTTCATTTGCCTTTCTCTGTGATTAAACAAACACAATATTCCTTTTTTATAGGAATGGTATCCTATGTTCTTTAATGATTTCTCTGAAGTCAACTGCTTATAACCCTATATCAGAATCCTTATACCAAAAATGTGGTCAATGAGTCTTGTCCTTTGAGTGTGATTGTGGTGCACGAGCACACACATACACACACACACACAGTGAGTGAAGGGGTCCCATAATACACATCGTTATACAACAGAAACAATCCGCGTTAAATACAATATCTTTTGGTACAAAGGATAGCATTTTAAAATGTGTTTAACAAAATATGATTTTAATACTCAGACGCTGTCTGGTTTAGCGATGCCTATAGAACCGTCTAGTTTATTTATAAACGTCCTATATATAATGTCACTACGATACACATATTTAAATTAGAAATTTACGGTTCCAAAAATGCAATGACTAAGGTATAAAGGTAAGTTTGTCAGCAATCTTTGTACAGAGTTAAATGTACGGAAGCAAGGGAAATGCTTGATACGTTTGTTGAGTGTTGCAATTAAATGTGGACAAGGATCTAATTAAGAAATGTAACTAGTTTGGAAATGTATATGGGCTGCGTGTTCTTACGTTTTCAAACTCGAATATTTTGAGATAAATTAGTAACGGCTTTGTGTTTTCATAAACATCTGTTTATTGGATTCGGGTAGTTTCTCAAAAAAATAGTTTCGGATAAAAAGGTTTTCCAAAATAAAAATTTTGCTAAAGTAAATCGCCTGTGGGTTTTGTTTACACAAAGATGTATTAGAATAGTTTTCGAGCAAGTCGCTTATCAAAAAAGCTGGACAGCCCATGTGCTAGTGAAATTAATGGCCAAATTGTACCAATATATCACTGAATATATTTGCATATATATATATATATATATCCTGAAAATATTACCAACATCAGTTGATTAATAGCAATTTTATTGTGGAAACATTGACTTGCATAATAAAAACTGATATATACAGAAGCGTTCCTGTACTTCTCGGAGAAGAGACATGAGAGACAGTTTCGTTCAACAACCTAATTTTACGTATAATCTATCACTGGCAACAAGCCTGCAGGCTGGATTCCCACATAAAATATGCGAGTCGATTAAAGTAGGTAGTCTACAAAAAGCCGCCTGATAGAATAGACGAGCTTACGACCTGAGCTTAGGACTTCTTAAGATTAACGTAATATAACGTGATGAGTGGAGGAGTCACATATGCAGGACGTCAATTAAAATAGGTGGTAATTACAAACTAGAACATATGATGAGATTTGTGAATCATTGAAATAATGATGGAAACTACGAATCAAAAATCATGTTAGAGAATTTATTACATGACTTTTAATAATATTTTCTTAACCTACGGTCGGATATTATCATATTACTTACTGATATAGACAAATTATTATTTTGTTATTTCATTATTTTTTACATCACACTGATTTGTCTATATATGCATCATCTGCATCGCAAAATACATATTTACAGATTATATACGCCAAGTATTTTAACTAAGAAAACTTGAACAGTATTTATGTGTGCGTGTGTGCGCGCGCACACGCGCGTGAATAACTTGTCGTAAATTGTTAATCAGAAATATGGATCTTATATGCCAAGGGACCCAAATTCGAAAAGGGTTGAGGGTGGATAAACTCAAAAGTAACAAATCTGGAATATACAGAATGTGAAAAAAAAAATCAACTTATGCACGCACCGCAATACAAATATGTTTATTTTTTCCTTATTTTGGCGGTTATGAATAATTATTCTTTGGGAGATTTGGTAATTTGGATTTTTGATTGTATCACCATACTGTATGAAACAAAAATAACGTTCGCTGGGACTTGTCTAGGAAAGATAAAGTTTATATAATATCTAAGACGATATAATTTCTAAGTCAGAACATTTTTTGGTGTTCTACCTGTTCAGCTGCTTCATATTTATTTAAAAAAGCTTAAAATGTTTGACAAGTTTGTGAACATTAAGATATTTAATAAGCGTTTTTTAGTGTGAAGCATCTATTAAACACGCTTTTATATGTTTGTAAAACCATCCCACTAACCACTGCATCAAAATAACAGGAAAGTCTTTTTGTGCCGGGTTTTATTATGCAAAGTACAACATATTTTTTATACTTTACTCCAAATATTTTACTCCAGATATGGGACGAATAAACATACATTTGATTAATGGAATATCCTAATTTACCTGAATAAAGTATCTTATATGTTAATATGGGCTGCATGACAGTCTACAAACTTCATTGATTATATTAACTTTTCTATTGTTTCACCTTTGTAAGTAATTTTGTAACAACCGTCAAATACTTGCAAACACACTCACACGCACACACACATACACACACACTCTTACTGTTTAAAAAATTGTTATTTTTGTGGAAATACATTGTTGTTATTTTAAATAAAAAAAATTTGTTTCGTCATTTGCATGTTAAAGGTTTTGGTTGTCACTGCTTTTATTAATGACAACAAAAACTTTAATGTTAATACCAGCAATTTTTATTGCTCTGTGTTGGTATTTATTTATTTATTTTTTTTTTTACTTTGGAATAAAAACAAACTGACCCAGGAGTATAAAATAAATAATATATTTTTATTTATTTTCTTTAGAGTGATTAGTGACTCCTTCGATATTTGGTGTCACAAAAATGTTCGTTTATTAGGTAGATATTGGTAGTATACTTGGGAAAAGTCCGGGGGTGGTAGTTTTGAAGTTAGAGCATGGTAGGGCTAGTAGTAATATTAGAAATAGATCGGTGCCAATCTACTGTGTTTTTCTCGGCCCTAGGCAGAGTAGAAATATCATTAGCAGATAGCCTCTTAACTACTTCTTCACTCGTCACACATGGCTAGTTTCTCCGCGTTCGCGTCTCTGTTCACCCTCCCTTCTGCTTCTTGCTCAGAGATGTCAGGCTCCGAGACTCCCTCGCAAACATTGGTTTCGGCTAATATCAAAAGTCTGTTTGTATCTTTTTTTTTTATTGGCCAAAGTTATTTTATTTTTCAGCGTTCCTTTCTTTTTCATTATTTTTTTTATAACAGACGTTATGCGTGGATCCTCTCATTTTTGGGGTATTTTTCAGTCACAAATAAGTAGGCCCTGATCCTGAAAACTTCCGGCGTTTTTCGACCAGGTTCAGTCTTTTCTTCTTCCGCTTTTTATTTTAGGTTGCCTTCTTGTTAGAGAGAGAGAGAGAGAGAGAGAGAGAGAGAGAGAGAGAGAGAGAGAGAGAGAGAGATACCAACAATTTTATTTTAATTCTTTTATTTTTATGTTTTATTTTCATCGGGACTCACTACACCTTCTTTGCTTGAATATCATTTTTCCATTCTCATGTGCATCTCTTTTATTTAGTTCATTAATTTGCTGACTTGAATGCAGTCAGTATTGCAGAATGTGAATAAACATTGTCTTGCATGAATATACTCTTATAACTTCTTGGTTGTGTCCTGTACTACGAAAAAAGGTTTTTTGCCTAAGAACTTATAATAATTCACTGAATTTATTTGACATCAGTAACTACCTATTATATAAAATTGAACAATCATAAACCACTAAATAAGATATTATGAATATTATGAATTTATCATATGAATCCTGAAAATATTACCAACATCGGTTGGTTAAAAAAATACCAATTTTATTGTGGAAACATTGACTTGCATAATAAAAACTGACATATACAGAATTAAGCGTTCCTGTACTTCTCGGAGAAGAGACATGAGAGATAGTTTCGTTAAACAACCTAATTTTACGTATAATCTTTCTTCGGAAAACACTGCACACTCGCACGCATGCATACATACACACACAGACACGGGCGAGCGCACGCACATTTATAAACAAACATGACAAAGATATTCAGTCAATTTTTAGCAAGAAAAAGAAAAAGAACAATACTGAAATGAACATTGGAGACAGATGGGGAAGAGCCTTGATTAAGGCTAGGATTATAACTTTCGGTTAGTGTAGAAAGAAAGAAAGAAAGAAAGAAAGAAAGAAGGGGAAAATAAATACTTTGTCCCAGATGTACCACTCTGAAAAAAAAAAACTGTCGCCGTATATATTCTAAAAACGTTTAAAAGAAAGGAAGAGATCCCGAAATAAACCCTACCAACATATTTTCACTGAGTTTACTCACCAACAACCCCGCAACTAAGTTTATCAACAGACCTGCAGGTGGCTGCAGTGTAAGTTTGACGCTAAAAATTAAAGAGAAAGAAAAAAAAAAAGAAAACATCAGTTTTTCGTAGTGACTTCAGAACGAAACAGCGCACACAAAAAAAAAAAAAAAAAAAAAAAAAAAAAAAAAAAAAAAGGAGAAAGTGAAAAATTAAGAGTCTGGGAGGGAAATGTTGTGATACTGTGAGAGAAAGAGTGAGATCTCCGGTTTAGAGACTAGGCCTTTGTGTAGTGCCTAGTCGAAGCTCCTTCACCGGCGGCAGAGATTAGCGGAAGACCAAGTAGTGGGCAAGTGGATGTGGTGAGAAAGTGAGACTTTTTTAGTCATCTTGCTCGAATTGGCTGATCGCCGATTAACTTATTATATATAAGTATATATATTAATATAAGTAAATATATTTCTACATGTATATACATAGTGATAAACATTGTTAGAGAAAAAGGCTGAGAAAGGAAAATAGACACGAAAAAAAGGTTAAAAAAAAAAAAAAAAAAAAAGAAAAGGAAAGCGCTATGAGAAAAGTTATCTTCTCACTTTGTTTTCTCTTTCTGAGTTTTTCTTTCTGCACAGCTGATCAGAGTATTGAGGGTCATCCGACGACTGGGCGAAATGTTTCCTACTATGGGTGAGTAAGAAATTTAATCGGTTTAAAAAAAGTGAGGGTGAGAGAAAGTGCTGAATTTGCATTTAACGTAGCATTTACTTAATACTATTTAGGTTTTCACCCAAGTCGTACATAGTGGCTTTCAATGGCGAATAAGTGACAACAAGTCTCTTTTTATTCAAGTATTTTTGTTTGATTTTATGATGCCATTTGTTTTGGATCGTCTCAATTCTTCCACGTATTGTCAATTCTTTAGTATTGTTGCTGTTCGGTTTGTTAGTTATTTACCCTGCTTAAATTCCCTCATTTTCATCTTCATCATTGCATTATTATTATTAATAATAGTAGTAGTAATAGTAGTAGTAGTAGTAGTAGAAGTTATTAACTCTTAAAAAAATACATGATCATTTTGTTCAGTTAAAAAAAAGTTGTAAATTTTACTACTCCATCTAATTTGCTAATTTCAAATAAAATAACTTTTGACTTGAGTTTATTTTTATTATTAATAATCGTACTTTCTTTAACTTACCACTACCATTATCCTCCCTCATCATTTTTATGACTATCCGCATTATTGTCTTCTTCTTCTTCTTCTTCTTCTTCTTCTTATTATTATTATTATTATTATTATTATTATTATTAGTAGTAGTAGTAGTAATAGCATTTGTTAAACAAGTTCTGTTGTAGTTAATCGTTAATATGGGGGTGCTGCCAGAATCATTTCTCAAGAAGTTGCCAAATGACCAAACATCATACTTTTTTTTTAATTCCTTCTTGTCGAGAACCCTTTCGTTCGTAATTCACTTTTTAATATTTAGTCTTGATTCACTTAAAAAAAATTAAATAAGATCACTATCACGACACGCCGCCGCCACCACTATCACCACCACCACCATCATCATCATCATCTTATTATTATTATTATTATTATTATTATTATTATTATTATTATTATTATTTTCTCAATTTTAATGCCAGACAGATTGTTGTAGACATTTTTCTTATTTTGATTTGTTATGGGTAAAAATGTGTTTTTTGCAGTATTTTAAATTTTAGATTAGATACTAATTTTATATTATATTCATTGCAAGTTCAAATGTACTTTCAGTACTGTAGTGTAATGGTGGTGTATTAGTACATTTTCAAATAGCAACATTGAATGATTTCTGGCAGCGTTTCGCCAAAAAACAAAAAAATTAAGAAGATTATTTTTCCAAGTCCGCCAAATGATTCTTGGGGTTTTGAGGAACAAAAAGAAGTATTGTTTTCCTTGGCAACACTAAATCTCAAAGCAGAGATTTGCTTATGTAGCATCGTAAAGACTTCTCGGATCTCGCTGTGTCAGTCATACAATCAGTCTTCCAGTACTAGTGCAGTTCTCTGTCTTACTGTCTAGGCAATCAGAAAAAAAAAGTGACCATCTTATCGCAGTCAGTTACAGTACCTCATTGTTACTACAGTATGCCACAGTCCTTCAATAGACATATATCACTTCCCAAGAGTGTTGTATTGTAAATGGCTCTGGTGACCGTATATAACGATTCACCCGCAAAACAAGTCAACCACCCAATCGCTTTACAATAACTATTCCGGTTTTAATTTCTTTCTTTCCCCTCTTCATTGAAATCTTCTTGTCTTCCTCACTTAGCATTTCTTTTCTTCTTTTGAAGGCTTGTATTTTCTGTTTCTAACGCTTATCCCATTATTTATATTATTCTTTAACTAAATAATTTTATTTCATAATCGTTTAGATCAGCTTCTACCCACACAAACGTTTATATATATATATTTATTTTAAAATTCTACACTTTTAAGTAACTTAAAAATATACAAGCTTAAGCAATGAAAGACATGGAAATTTAAAACTGATTCTTGATTTTACTATCTTTACAATTATACACTTATTTACTCGGATTAGTGTTCTCATGCTAGTTGTTGTATAACCATAATATTTCAACCATTATACTCTCCGACCTTCTTAAGTGCCAGTCATAATTGGTCACCTACCAGGAATTTAGAAACCAAACCCAATACAGCGTTGGATTGTTCCCATTCCGTTGTCTATGTTAGAGAATATCTCGTATCAGTTAATTATTCTTAGTTCATTTTTGTAGTGTTGTTTGTCTCTTTCGCTGAACAAGACTATAATATGAATTTTTTCTTGCGAATATTTCTTAAAATGAACGTGTAGTATTTGCTTTCGTTTCGCTTAATAAAGTCAAGAGTTGAAACGTATTGGCGTAAATCTTATGCTTACAATTATGTTTTGTCTAATTTAACTAAGTTTAAACACTTTAAAATATTTGTATTGGCTAATGGCTACGTAAAATATTCGTTCCTTTAAGTAAAAATAAAAGATTTTTTGATTTTTTTTTTAATTGACTCTAACATATTTACCGTTTTGTTAAAATGTCAACTTTTAAGTAACTTCTTAGCATTTTATCTTTCTCAACAAAAACTGCCCAAGGTATTTTTGCTGATTTTTCTTTGAAGAATTTTGTAAAGACAAAAATAAATGGTTATTAATAGACTAAATATCTCGTGGATAGCGTTATCCTGATGGGATATTTGGCTGCTTAATCACGGACATTTTTCAGTTGCCATTTCCAGTTGGTCCAATTAGGAGTAGTTCTTGTTCGAATCATTCCATTTCATTCTTATCATCACCTCGTTTGGATGAAGACCAAGTTTGGGCAAGATTAGTGGTGGCTCATTGCGTTTCACGTTGTTATAAAATACCCGCTTTTCATCGCCCGTAGTCACAATTCAGTCAAAAGCGAATCATTTAAATATGGTCCACACGGTTTCGTCGTTAACATATGTGGAAGCCACACATCAAAACGGCTAACATAATCAAATAATTTTCAAGGGTTGATTTGGATATTTTTAGTATGCTGGTTACCTTCTGTGTCATATAATAATGATTATTTTCAAGGATTACATTATATAAAGAAACTTTTCAAGTAGCAGCTGTATTTATCACTTATCTACGAAATGATCTTATTCTAATGATCAATGTCAATGCCACTAATGAGTTTCTTGTAATACTGTACTTAAACAAACCTAATAAAGACATTCTAAACTCGTTTAAGGTGTCTTTAGCAATGTATCCGTCGAAGAAAAAAACAACATATTTTTAATAAAAAAAAAGTATATAAGTATTCTTCGTTTTCATTTCCTAATATTATTAGACTAACAATTATACCTAAACTTCTATCCTGCACGTCGCAAATGCCATTTTATTAATATCACGGCAACATTTACACAAACTGAATACGTAAGTTGCCCCTCGGTCCTACTTTATCAAATTTCTATACGAATAACATAGAAAACAAAATATTTAATATTTCTGTTAAAGCTATGCTTTATGTTCGATATATCGATGACAAATTCATACTAAGAGAAAAACACAGACGAAATAAAAAAATAAAAAAAACTTTGAGAATAATTCCGTCCTATACTTGTTATGAATAACAAAATTCCTTTTCTTTAGTTTTAGTAGGTGCTAAATTTTACTACTTTTATAGCAAAAACTCCTATCTTCTTAATTATACAAGTAAATTTACAGGAAGATATAAAACAGGTGTTACTAAGTTATTAATTCGTGCACACATCGATCGTCACATTACAAAGAACCAATATACAACAATTTCCATATGACAAATATTTGTAGATAACACCAAAATACCATAATACACACACTGTAAATAAAGACTTCAAATAATATATAAAAAGGAAACAACCAGAATTAAATAAAATATCTTTCATCACGGGAAGATTTTTAAAAAATATGCATCAAATATTTAAAATGCGCATAGATCAATTAAAATACGTATAAAATATTTATATGCTCGTTTTTTTTTTTGTTGTTTTTGTCAAGCTCTGTGAAACCGTTCTACACATGACATCATTTATCCGATATATTTGAATTTGAAATGTAAAATTCCCAAAGTATCAGGATGTAGCTAACAAACCTTTGTCTACAATACTGACATTTAGTTCCTGGTAATGACCAAAACGGTACTCGAAAGTACTCGAACAAAAAAGGAAAAATAGCTAGCTAGCTTGATAGATTCTGTTCAACATGAAACTGCCGATTTCTTTAAGAAAAATAAACACTGGAAAAATGATTTAATCAAATTATTTTCTCTTGTCCTGTCTATATTTATTTCACTTTGATATCAAGTTAGACAATCTTTTCCAAAAGAATTCTTCATTAAAAAGACTTCATAAATGAATTCACTGTAAATCTGATTGAAATTCATTCAGTACAATTTTATCTACATTAATAAAATACTCCTCAAATGAGGAACCCACATTAATTAGAAAATTTCAGTTAAGAGGTTTTCCCACTTATTTAATAATGTAGCAAAATTAATGGAATAAAATGAATTTTCACTGAATGTTTACTCAGTTGTTTTAAAAAAAAAATAAGTGGTCGTTTTTCAAGAATAGTAAAAATTTAAATCTTTAAGTAAAATCTGTATATAAATGTGTGTGTGTGTGTGTGTGTGTGTGTGTGTGTGTGTGTGTGCATCTGTAATGAAGTTTTTTTTAAAGATTTTTTCAAAACAATTATTTCTATTATTTTATAAAAAAATTTATTTCAGGCATCAAGTCTTGGAGATTTACCCAAACACTCTGAGTAAAGTTCAACACTTTCTCAATTTTGGTCGGAAAGAAAACGTAAGTAAATGAAAAGAAAGGATCTTGTCGTTTTGCAGCAAGTCAAGTGAAAAATGAAAAGTCACTCAATAATCAAGACGAAAAGGAACATCTGGACTTTGGACATGACTTAACGATTGATTCCTTATTTGCTCTCTGACAAGTTTTGCATAAATATAAAATGAAAAAATATGACGTATTGCTGTTGTTATACATAATATAATCTTCTATGTGTCTTGTGTAAATGTTGTATGTGTCTGGAAATGCAACGCATTTGTGAGAAAATAAATGAGTATCGGATAGAGTCTACTGAAGTAAGCCAAATGCTTATATTAATATATTTCTCTTTTGAACATAAGAATAGATTAAAACTAAAAGTAATCATTTTCCTTTTATCCGTCTACATGCGTTCTTCATCCTTAAATTATCAGATGTTAGAATATATTTCTCATTACCTGTATAACATTCTAGTTATTCGTTATGATGTTTATTAAATTTATTATACTAAAAAGAAACAGTTACTATAAGTATATTTCTGATTATTAATACTTCTAAATTTGGTAACGATTCTATTAAAAACCAGTGCACATTTGATTTACTGTTTAACATGGAAACACTGTAACATCGTAAAAATAATCTAGAAAAGACAGAACTTTCCACAGTCTTTAAGTTCTGATATTTTTTGGACGAAGTTATTTTTTAATCTGTCGCCATCTTTATGGAGTTCCCAACGAGGAATTACTTATTAACAAGAATAAATAATACACTAAGTGTTTATGAACCCACTCTTAAAAAAAGTTCGGATGACACTACAAAACAATTATACGAATTTCTCGACAACCTGAAAAAGCTAAAACCTTGTCATTCTAAGAGAAAGCAAGAGACGACAGGATTTGGAAAGGAGCGCTTGGAAAGCATAAAGTAGGGAAAATAATGATCATATGTGCAAAAAGCACACTGTGTATTGCAATCCGTTCAGAATGGCAGATAAGTAACAAGTCACTGAGATACACTCACTGGCACATGATTGACTCATATGGTCATATGGTAACGGGACATCAATGGGTGACATGTATCATGAGAGTTGCTGAATGTTGGACAGATTACAGACCAGTTAAAACACATCCCAAACCCACATAGCAAAGGACCCAAGATTGTCACTAAAGTGCTGTTAGGACCAGGCACCAGGAGACGTTTAGGAAAAAATAAGCAAAAGTGCAATGAAAAAAGTTTGAGGAGAATTCTGGGAAGATTAACAGCAGTAGATCCTCATGCACTGAGAATATTCCATCATTAATTAGTTAATTAATTAGACCGAGAAGCACCTCAGCTTGCCACCTGTCAATGTAGAGATTAAATAAAATCTCCCAGAAATTCATTTTTCGAAGAATATGGCATCCTTGCTAAGATATGCAAATTCATAGGTTACAAAACACATGAAGCGTGAATCTGGAAGAAAGCGAAGGGCGTCTTCTGTGATGCTCTGATTATTTCTCTCTGCAAGATGAATCCAATGTGACAGTAGCTTTGTTGACATGCAATGGCATAAAGTCGGGTTGTATGCTAGTCGTAGTACTCTTCAAGGTGTATGCTTATACATACAATTCAGGATCTGGAGAAGGAGGTGTACACCTGACGACTCTATCTTTCACCTTTGTTGCCTTACCACAACAAGAAAAAATTTAAAAAAATTGAAAAACAAAACAAAACAAAGCAAAGCTCGTCACGTGAAAGCCCATAACTGTACACTCTGAGCCTATGACGAATCTGATCTGCCGCTGATGGTCGATCGCTTATCTCAGGCTGTAAACTGTTTAATTTGGCAGAAATAGAAGTGCTTCATCAATCTGCATAAGTACCAACTACCCATCGCCATTTATCTAGGAAATACCCTTTTCCAAGACGGCTCCTGGAACAGAGAAATTGAAAGTTGAATCAGAAAAACAAGCTAAGCATTCGGAAGAGAAAGTGCGTAACCAGCACAATATACGCTTGTTCACAAAGTTGAAAGACGCTATCTATAGAATGGATCATGGAACTTTTACTGCAAACGCATCAAAACATGAAAACCATTGCTCATCACTTCAGGAGAAAGAAATAACACAGAGCAACACAAGCAGTGGTTAGAATAAATAATTTTCAACAAACCGCATTTTCCATGACTTTATGCCACCTGGTAAATGTGGCGGAGCTATCCAAAAATTCACAGATATATAAAAAAAATTCTACATATATATGTGTGTGTGTGTGTGTGTGTGTGTGTGTGTGTGTGTGTGTGTGTGTGTGTGTAAAATTTCAGATATAACTAAAAATATATTTGTAAAAGGACAAAATATAAATAAAGAGACAAAAGAAAAACTTAGACGACGCGTTTCGTCCTCTGATGGATTTTATCAAAGATTTTATTTTGCAACAAGTATTTATAGACAAAAGTAAAAATGTTATTAGTTTATCAAAATTTTTAAGTTTAAGAAACGCTCATCAGGCTAATTGAAAAGTCTCGGTAAATTATGGAGGATGTTAAATGATGTAATTTCTAATAAATTGTAATGTCTAATAAACAAAAGTCAGTAAATGATGCTATTTTTTATTTGTTTATAATGTCAGTATCTATATTTTAGCTTGGGATTAATTCATGTATTATATATTTTAAATAAAAGGAGGTTACGAATTTAACTGTTTTCTTTTATTTTTTTAAAACATTTTTATAGTTATATATGTTGGCTTGGGAAATGAGTAATTCTTTCAGTAACGGAGATATCTGGGGCGCAGATTTGCAATTTAATAAGATTCGATAGAGGCACTCTCGAGAATTTTCTATTTAAGTTACTTTAAGTGTGGCATTCTTTAGATTAAAGTTGTGGTCGAATTTATTCCTATGTACATAATATATTTTTATTTGGCCTGGAATTCCGGAAAAAAAGAAGAAATTTTATGAAAATCACATAAATAACGTTTCTGTGATTTTTGTTACTTGTTTTTCATTGACAAACTCTTCGTCGATCGGGTGAAGAAATGTTAATAATCTCAAATTTGTGCTCGCACAAAGATCCCACTCCCCCCATTCTCTTTCTCCCTTTCTCTTTCTCTTTCTCTTTCTCTCTCTCTCTTGCCTAAAATCTTTTTTTCTTTCTTTCTAGCTGGACATCTGGAAACATGCAGCTCATGCTAATGACAGCATACATGTGTTACTCTCTCCTGAAAAACTGCGGCTAATGAAAATCGAGCTGGAGAAGATGAAGACACAATTTAACGTTTTAATTCCAGATGTTGAACAGTGAGTTTATATTTGGTTGTTTTTCATCTAGATGTAATTCTTTTCTTTTTTTTTTTTTTTGATAACAGCCGCTGTTATTTGTTACATATTTCAAGGTTTTTGGATGAATGTTATTCAGAAAAAATATTTGCTGATTATCAAATACGAACAACCATTTAAGGTATCACCACGAGATCGCTGAAAAATGAGCATAGCAGGATAATAAAGGCCTTAAAGTTGACGAAAACAAAATTTTATCGTCAAAATGTTTATGTTTTTATTAAGAGGAAAGAACAAAGTAATTTTTAATTATTTTTCAAATTTTTTCTGTCTTTATTAGAGCATTCTAACTTTTGATTGAAAAACATCGTTTCTCTTTATCAGCGAGTGTCCTACTAAATAACATAGTGGATTTTTGTATGTTTTTTTTTTTAATGGCAGTCATTAATTTTGAAAATCTTGTAAAAATAAAAATAATTGTCAGATTTTAATGAAACTTTCAGAAACTATTCACAAATGATGGAAATTATTATAAATATGTTTATTTTTTTTCAAAGTCATGGTAAAAAATTTTTTTTTATATTTATTACCCCCTCTAATTAATTTTCTGAAAACTCATGAAATTCTAATTTGTACAGTTTTAGCGATTAATTAATTAAAAGCACAAGGCTTTGAGGAAAGCAAATCATTTTTTTTTAGTTGACACCCTTCAACCTTAAAATCAGCTCTGAATTGTAACATACAAAACTCAATAAAACAAAGATATTTAATTTCAAAAGCTTTGAGTTGCTTTTACTTTTTGTAGGAATATGGATACTATTTTCTGAAAGCAAGAAACGTTTTCGATGAAAAATAAATTTTTACAACAATTATTTGTTATTTCTTAAATTATTTTATTTTTTTACATTAAAGTTGTTAAATATTCTAAAATTAATGAAGATCTTGTACACCTTAGTCAGTGGTGTTATTAAGTAGATAAATATCATTTACAGATTATAAAATAAAGCTGGTTACAATCAGAAAGTTGCCAATAGCTAAAAATCTAATATAACATGTTTTTTTTTGTGCCCCAAAATAGCTAAAATTCAAATATACGGAAGACCAGAAGCATCATGAAAACAATAGTCCGTCACGTGGTTTGCGTTGGTAGTAACAAACATTTTGACGATAAAATTCTGCTTTCGTCAAGTTTAAGGCCGTTTTTATCATGCTATGCCTACTTAAAAATAACGAGGTAAATAAGTTGTTCACATAAAGCTAAACTGTCACTTGTGACCTTCCGTACGATAACTTTTCCTCCCGTAAGATGAAATTACGCACGTCATTTGTCAATCAACACCTCTGTTAAGCCTGGCTTTCTATCATTTGAAAGTACATTTTTTTTTCAGCGCAGAAAGTAAGTAATGTTTGTTTCAAGATACATTAAATAAACTTTATAATTTCTAATTTTCTTAAATTAATTTTTAAAAAAATCATAATTGATTTTTTTAAACGGAAAATTTCACTTTTGTAAACAAAAGTTAAAAAAATGGCTGACGTCCGATTTTCTGTCAATTTTGCTGAAAAAAAATACAAGATTTTTAACGAAAATTTTGGACGTGCTAGGAATTATTAAAAAATGTAAAAAAATAATAAAAATCTTCCTCTTGATAATAACATGACCATTTAGACGATAAAAAATGATTTTCATCAAGTTTAAGGCCGTTATTATCCTGCTATGCTCATTTTCCTGCGATCTCGTAGTGACCTACATCAAATTATTAATAAAATTATCGAAATCTCTATAAAGCTGGTCTGTATCTAAAATTGGTTCAATCCAACAAGTATGAGGGGGGAACTGAAAAATTATCGTCCCAACCTATTTCCAATGAGACATTGGTGGAGATCCTTTCTTGATCAGTCCAAGAATTTTTCATCACTCCCTCGTAAATATACAAAATGCGTCAGATAATTGAGACTATATAGGAAGAAAAACAAAAATATTCACTAAAAAATAATATGTTTAATACATATATATATATATATATATGTGTGTGTGTGTGTGTGTGTGTGTGTGATAAAATAAAAGAACAAATAGGAAACGTATATCTAACTTGTTTTACCTTTATTAAAGCTTCGATTGAGAGAAAACAGACAGACAGAAATCACTGGTATTTTTAATTATGTTTGGGGCATTTCTAATTGGTTAGACATGTGTCACATGTATTAAAACCGTGGATAATTCTATGTGTATGTATATTTGCGAAGATTCTTGGACGTCTAAATGGGCATCAGATGGTAATGTGTATTTGTAATTGTGTGCGTGTGTCTGTCTAGTGTGCGTTTTATCTTCACCTTTGTGCGGTCAACCAGCGCAGCGGGGAGTCAGAAGTTTCTAATTCATGGCTCGCCTCTTTGAGAATTTATTCTTTGTATTAGAAATTCAAAGAAAGATGGCGATGTAATGTAATGTTTTAGGCGTGTGTTTATAGTTGGTAACAATGTTATTATTAAGTTTTCAATGTATTTTCTCCTTAACGAATTATGTTCTTTTTTTTTATTAAGCTGGCATGAAATCAAAGTTATGTCTAGCATCAGTTAAATGCAAAACGAGAGAGTTAAATCGATTGTCCAAACGCAAGTTTCTCTTGTGTACGTAGATGCGAGCTTTTAGATCACGTGATGTCTTCCTCACATAAACATTTTTGTATTGTAAACAATTTATTTGATAAATCTCGGCATTTGAATCGGTGTTGGGTTCATTTTTCTTTCTAATTATATCTCTTGGAGATGGTGATAAAGATCCTAGTATTAAGGATGACTAATTTGTTTGCGACTTTATTAGAAAGAGTGTTGGAGGGCAGGATTATGAATTTTGCGTCATTTTTGTTAGAAGTGTTATTGGCAGTGTTTGTTTTTTGTTTTTTTTTGGTGGTGCCTGTTTTTTGGGGTTTTTTTTTAGTGATGTCTGTTTTTGTTTTTTTTTTCTTTTGGTAGTCTCTGTTTTGTTTTTTTGATGGTGTCTGTTTTTTTTTGTTTTTGGTGGTGTCTATTTTGTAAGCTCTTTTTTGCGTTCAGGATAAAATAATGTGGGTAGTGGAGAAGTTTGAATGTTTTCTCAATATATCTCTCTTCTTCATTTAGGTATTCCGGGCTACATATACTAACGGCTCACACAAACACCGATGAAACTACGCTACCCTATGAGATTCATACGGGCACTAAAAAACTTATCCATGAACAAAAACATCATCCTATATATATGTTCAGTCAAGGGGTCCTCGTTCATATTGGCCATTATATACTTTCCACGAGTTCTTCGTATTGACCTCTAAGACGTAGTAGTTAAGATCAGGAGGACCGGAGTCCACATATTGGGCTGATATGATTCTCTGCATTTATCTTGACACTATCCTCTATTTTGAATGCACTTATGATTTAATTGTCCACAACAATAGCTCAAGATATTACCTCCACCTTTATCTTTTAACTGGTGTTGCTTAACTGTTCCCATGAAGGATCCAACCTCTAGCCTAGTCATCAGTTCTACAATTATAACTGTTGAAAAATCAGATTTTATGCCTTTTTTTCTCTCAAATTAGCGTGTTTCTATCTGTGACGTTTACATCAATGTGGTAGTTTAGTTGCTTTTAATTATTTTACCATTTTTTTATATTCTGTATCTTTTCACCCTGTTTATGTTCGCAACACCATCTTATATATTTTTTTGCTGGTCAATCTATTTTCATTCTTTACCTTTATTTAAATCTCTTCTTGTGACATTCATAAAACTGATTTGTCCTTTTTCTTATCTCACGAATGTTCTCAATTTCTTTTTTGAGTATTTGATGATTTCTGTTCAACTTTTACGGAATTTCCATCATTGTGTTTCCATCACTCAAATTTAAAATATATTTTCTTTTTTGAAATTATATATTTCATATGATCCATGACAAACTTCATATATATTAGATTAACAAATAAATACTAATAACCATACGGTCAAATTTATCTACAATATGATGAACAGTCCTCGAGATGCATAATAAAATCTCACACCACCAAATACATAATTGTAAATAATTTTAATAAAAATGGATATTGTAATCTGAGAGTGACACGGTATATTTATTATATAAATATGTTCAGAAAATGTTATCAACACAGGTTGATTGATACAATTTTATTGTGAACCTATTGAGATGCATAACATTGTAGATGATATATATATATATATGTCCCATTAAGAGTCCTCAATCCGGAAGCTCCTAGGAGTCAGTTGGTTAACACTTCCGGTTCAGCGATTACGGAGCACCTAATAAATTGCAGGGATTGTGCGAAGAACTTCAGTACGAACTGGTTCACTGTTCTATCTAGTTCGCACTCTCTTTTCCATTTGAAGGCACTTGAGTCTCTATATATTCGGTCCAGGGAGCCATCTTTGTGTAAGCAAAGAGATTGTCTCCTTGGCCTTCACGTCATTATTCTCTAGTGTGTTTCAAATTTTCCCTTCACACTCCGTTATATATACATATATAAGTTTTTTTTTTTTTTTTTATCCCTTCTCTCGTTTATTGTGTATATTTGCACAGCTTAAAAGAAAACAGGAAGGAATATATATATATATGTGTATAAGTTAAAGAAAGAGGAAGAAAAAAAAATTTTTTTTTTTTTTTTTCCCCTCCATACCATTAATCTTTCATTTTTAAATTTTAATTGTATGTAGGTTGTTTGTGTGACTTATTTATTCTGCAATTTTGAAAAATAGTTCCCAGTTGACCCTGATGAGCTTGGGAACGAAACCGGTTGGTCTGTTTGTTTGTGAGAGTTATCATCTCTTATTTCTTATGTTATTTTCATAATGCCTTTGAGAAACAATCCATATTATTTTTTCCTTGCAATATTACGGTTTTGCACCTCCAATAATTTATTTAAATATATATAATAATATATATATATATATATATATATATATATATATATATATATATATATATATATATATAGTAGAGGCTGCTATAATGTGATGATTAACATGAATA